GCTTAAACCACACGCTCTCTGAATATGATGGGAGTTGCAGCATATTTTAATTAAATACTGACAACTTTAATTTTGATTGCTCACTCTAATACTCCTGAGCTAATAGCACCAAGCTAATGGCTTGTTCATTTTGGGAGATATTAACAGCAGGGCATTGCCTTTTACCCAAACATAAGATCATAATAATTAAAATCTGATATTGCTCAAAATGAACTCCTTTAATGTAATTTATATCCCCAAAACACACATAGATGCAGGCATGTAAATGCCAACATTCCCAAGAATTTACAGCCCCTTAGAGAAACTCTGTCCATTCTTTTCCAAAATGAAAAGTTTTCTATTGACGTGATGAAAGACTCCTTACTAGGTTCAGGGGAAATGTGTATTTCCACTGATCAATTTCTGAGTTTCCCAGAAGAGGGGAGCCACAGAGAAATCCTGAAAACTAATGGTTGTGGGAGCGAAGTCTATTTGTACTTTATTGCAGCAATCAGAGCCTAAACCACTGAATCAGAGAGTGAGACAAAGAAAAATCTTATTGTATGTGTGGGGGAGTGGGGAGCGGGCGGGAGACTGAGCATGAGGGAGAGATGGGATCTGCATATACAAAGAGATGGAATAATTTGAAGAGAGGATACAAGAAAGCAAATATAACATATTGCATTGATTAATGCCTTCCACCAACTTATTCTGAGTGCTTATTGGGTCCCAGGTATTGGAGACCTAATGGTGTTTGTTCTAGGGTATGATCCTTAATGAGAGGTCCATGTGTGGGCTTGGGGGGAGGTGCTATGAACCCCCTGAAATTGTACGTAAAATCTCATGTTTGTGGGCACATGTGGGTGAGGTTAGAAATAGATTGGTCCGTTTTTTTTTTTCCTGAGGACAAAGTATACAGCATGCGTCACATTTTCTAATCCTTTGGGAACCCCCAAAAGGTGAGTAACCAAGATAATAGAATTTGACACCTCTACTCTTTCCCCAGAAAGAATGAACAAACCAAAGTCAAAACCAAACAAGGCAATGAACAAAGATATTTTTCTTTAGTTTTACTTCCTTTACTTTTGTATAGTCGAAAAGTATTTTCTACCAAAACCTTAGGAAAAAGCCTCACCCTTACATTCCAAAGGCAATAAAAAGGCTACCAAGATCAGGTGCGGTGGCTCATGAATATAATCCCAGCACTTTGGGAGGTAGAGGCGGGCAGATCACCTGAGGTTGGGAGTTCGAGATTCGCCTGGCTAACATGGTGAAATCCCATCTCTACTAAAAATACAAAAACTAGCTGGGCATGGTGGCATGTCCCTGTAATCCCAGTTACTCCCAAGGCTGAGCAGGAGAATTGCTTGAACCTAGGAGGTGGAGGTTGCAGTGAGCTGAGATCGTGCCACTGTACTCCACCCTGGGCAACAGAGCAAGACTTATCTAAAAAAAAAAAAAAGCCACGTAATATAGTGAATTACAGGATGCAATTCATTGACAAGCTATTAGCAATGAGGTCATGCCATTAGAGACAATTTGAACTAATAATCCCATTGCTAATCCTTGCTTGAGTCTATGTAAATAATTCTCAGTGGGACGAGAAGTATAAGTCAGAGGCATCTTCTCCAGCCATGCTTTTCTGAGTGTTTATTATATACCAAGCATTATTTCAAAAGCTTTACCTGGAAGGTGTAACGAAACCTCACAGCTATTTTCTGAAGATGGGTATTATTACCAGCCCTATTTTACAGACAAGAAAACAGGTTCAAGGTGGTTCAATAACTTGTTTAATTTCCAGAGCTAGAAGTTTCCTGTTATCTTCATCCTTTCCCTTAAGAAAAGTTACAAATGGGCTGGGCACAGTGGCTCATGCCTATAATCCCAGCGCTTTGGGAGGCTGAGGTGGGTGGATCATGAGGTTAAGAGACCCAGGCCATCCTGGCTAACACGGTGAAACCCTGTCTCTATTAAAAATACAAAAACAAAATTAGTTGGGCATGGTGGTGTGTGTCTGTAGTCCCAGCTACTCAGGAGGCTGAGGCAGGAGAATCACTTGAACTGGGAGGCAGAGGTTGCAATGAGCCAAGATTGTGCCACTGCACTCTAGCCTGGGTGATAGAATGGGACTCCATCTCAAAACAAAAGAAAAGCTATAAATGACAGCACCGTAAAGGTGAGCTAGATGTCAGGAAATGGAAGCAACTATATAATCTCAAGACAAAACAGTTTTCTTGCATGAGACAATTAATTAATTTAAATAGTGTTTAATAGTTGGTTTGCTAGGGCCCAGTTTCTTAGCAGAATTCATCTTTGTGTTTCTAGAACTAGAGGATTTGAACCGAGGTGGTGCAGTCAGGTTGGGAGGAAGTGGGAAGATTTTTGAGACGGAGTCTCACTCTGTCGACCAGGCTGGAGTGCAGTGGCACGATCTCAGCTCACTGCAACTTCTGCCTCCTTGGTTCAAGCGATTCTCCTGCCTCAGCCTTCCAAGTAGCTGGGATTACAGGCGTGCACCACCACGCCCAGCTAAATTTTGTATGTTTTAGTAGAGACAGGGTTTCACCACGTTAGCCAGGCTGGTCTCGAACTCTTGACCTCAAGTGATCCACCTGCCTCAGCCTCCAAAGTGCTGGGATCATAGGCATGAGCCACTGCGCCTGGCCCAGAAGTAGGGAATTATTAAGGAAGTGGAACCGAGGTGAACTACCCAATTTCAAAACCACTGTCAACACAGCCTGGCTGAACTGAAGATTTTTCTTACCATCTGGATGGTGGTTTAGAGTTTCCCTGCCTCTTATGGATGGCCATTTAAAACAACTTATTTTGACATAATTTCATGCTGGCAAGAATAATACAAAGAATTCCTGTATATCTTTCATCCAGATTCCATGACTATTGACATTTTACCACATCTGCTTTTTCCTTCTCTCTCTAAAGAAACATATTCATTTTATTTTCTTTTTCATGGAGACATAATGATGCTCTTTTTTCCCTTCAGGGTGTATTTCCCCAAAACAAAGACAATCTCTTCAATAACCACAGTGCAAGGAACAAAATCATGAAACTATCAATGATATGGTTTGGTTCTGTGTCTCCACCCACATCTCATGTCAAATTGTAGTCCCTAATGTCGGAAAAGGAGCCTGATGGGAGGTGATTAAATCATGGGGGCGGATTTCGCCCTTGCTGTTCTCATGATGCTGAGTGAGTTCTCACGAGATCTGGTTGCTTAAAAGTGTGCAGCACCTCCTCCTTTACTCTCCAGCCATGTAAGATGTGCCTGCTTCCCCTCACCTTCCACCATAATTGAAAGTTTCCTGGGGACTCTCCAGCCATGGTACCTGTACAGCCTGCAGAACCCTGAGCCAATTAAACCGCTTTCCTTTATAAACTACCTAGTCTCAGGTATTTCTTTACAGCAGTTCAAGAACAGACCAATACAGTCGCTGATAAAATACTATTAACTCATCTACAGATTTGACTCAGATTTTACCAATTTTCCCAATCCTATCAGCAAAAGAAAAATCCTAGATTATATATTGCACTCAGTTTTCACATCTCTTTGGTTTCCTTTAATCTGGAACAATTTCTCAGTCTTTTTTGTCTCCATGACATAGATCTATATATATGTATTTTCTTTTTGAGACTGAGTCTGGCTCTTGTTGCCCAGGCTGAAGTGCAATGACATGCTCTTGGCTCACTGCAACCTCCATCTCCTAGGTTCAAGCAATTCTCCTGCTTCGGTCTCCCGAGTAGCTGGGATTATGGGCGCCTGCCTCCATGCCCAGCTAATTTTTTTTGTACTTTTAGTAGAGATAGGATTTCTCCATGTTGTACAGGCTGGTCTCGAACTCCTGACCTCAGATGATCCACTTGCCTCAGTCTCCCAAAGTGCTGGGATTACAGGTGAGCCACCATATCTGGCCTGACACAGACATTTCTTGAAAAAGTACAGGGCAGTCAGTTATTTTGTCACGTTTTCCAGTTTGAGTTCTCCTAATGTCCTGATTAGATTCAGGTTATGCACTGTTGGCAAGAATATCACAGTGGTCATGTTGTGCTCTTTCCAGTGCATTGTATCAGGTGGTGCACAACACATCTCGTCACTGGTGATACTGTCCTTGGCCTTCTGGTTAAGCTGGTGTCTGCCATGCTTCTCCACTGTGAAGTCACTATTAAGTCACTAACCATCCTCCTTATTTTTACATTAACGAATTGTTTAAAAATTTTGGTAAAATATATATAACATAAGTCAACCATTTTCACTGTTTTTACATGTCCAGTTGTGTGGCATTAAGTACAATCACATTATTGTATAGTCATCACCACCATCCAGCCACAAAATCGTTCTAAGTCTGTAGTTTTTAAAGTCCTTTGCAATATTAGGCTGAAATCTTCCTCCCTACAGCTTTCCTACAACAGGTTCTTGTTATTGACGGTAGTTAACCAAGGAGGACTCTTGTCTTGGGTTGAGAAGGTGAATTGAAGGTCACACTCATCATCTACTTCCTGCTTTGAGACTACCTAAAAAACCTGTTATTTTTCTGACACTTTCACCCACTAGCTTTAGTATCCATCGATTTCTATCGGAATCAATTATTCTAATAGTTGCCAAATGGCAATTTTCTAATTCCATTCTCTTTCTGCATTTATGAGTTGGCATTCTACTGTAGGGAATAAACTTCCCTTCTACCCCCTTTATTTGTGAATATGGACTCATTTTATTCAATGGGCTACGCTCCTTTCCGTTTTACACTATTGCTCTGAGCAATTCTTTTCCCTACGATTCCCCAGAGTGCAAGTTTGGGGAAATGCGGGAACTTTCTGTATTTCTTTGCCAACATTAAGCAAACCGAGAGTACAACCTGACTTCCCCAAGTAGAGAAAAATCACTTTCCTGCCCACTCATTTGTTTAGTTCAAGGGGAAACCCTTTTTTGAAAGTGCTTTCTGGGCAGCCCCGCGCGAACTACATTTCCCAGAGGTCTTTGGATATACGTCATCAGCGAGCGCGGCTTTTTGCAGGCGAAGCCGGCTTTGGAGAGCTGCTGTGGCAGGGGCAACATGGCGGACGTGATAAATGTCAGTGTGAATCTGGAGGCCTTTTCCCAGGCCATCAGTGCCATCCAGGCGCTGCGCTCCAGCGTGAGCAGGGTGTTCGACTGCCTGAAGGATGGGATGCGGAACAAGGAGACGCTGGAGGGCCGGGAGAAGGCCTTCATTGCGCACTTCCAGGACAACTTACATTCGGTCAACCGGGACCTCAAGTAGGTACCGGCTGAAGGGGCCGGGGTCGGGGACCGGCCCCTCTCCGACCCTGCCCCTACGTCGCTCGAGTCTTCCCAGGCAGGGGCTGTTCTCCATTTCGCTTTATCCCTGTTCTTTCTCTTCGTCCTCTCCAAACCTCTGCCTGCCCCTCAGGGACACCTTGCCACTATCTCGCTTTCTCGTCTCGCTTCTGCTGGCCCCCTGGTCCTGTCTATCTCCCGCCATCGTCGACCTCTTCTGTGGCGGTTCCATTCCTGACGAGCAGGCATGCTCTCCCCATGAACTTCCACTTCTCTGCGCTTGGCAGGTTTCTCACCTGTAGGCCCTCTGTGCCCCATCACGTCTGATCAGAATGTAGCGACAGTCCAGACCAGGACGTGATCAATCGGCCCCCAACCCAAGTGCACCCAATCTGATTAGCCCCAGTTCCCCGGCTTTGAACTTGGGCTTCATCAGTTCCACCACCACCCACCCCAACCACGACGAAACAGGCGAGACCTTGAGCTATATCTTCCTTTCTTCCCCTACGCTCTCCCAAACCACCTGATCAGTTTCCTCACTCCCGCTCTCACTTCTCCCGTTCAGTTCCTTCAGCAGTAGAGACCTATCTAATCTCTTAACCAGTTTAATTACTTATGCTTAACACCCCTGCTTCTTAATTTGTAGTCTTTTAGGGTTAAGGATTCAACTTTTCCTCCTCTTTCTTACAAAGCACCTTCTTCACTTATACTTTATAAGTGTTGTAAGAATTAAATGAGAGGATGTTTGTCAGGGGCCTGGCACATAGTAGGCACTTCTTGATTGCTAAGGTCCTGAACTTGCCTTCCCTTTTATAAGAGAGTCAGTCCCTCCCAGGAAGATTAGAATTTCAGGATTTTTGCCTTTCACTTCTCAGAATTGACCTGAGAAGGGGAAGGCATTTGGTGAGCTAGTCATTCTTTGATTTCTGGACTGGTTGGATTTTTGTTTTTTCAACTTGGTCTCCTTAGTAACCAGATGGAAAGAGGAGGTGGGCTGGAGGAGGAGGAGGAGGAGGAGGAGGAGGAGGAGGAGGAGGAGGAGGAGGAGGAGGAGGAGGAGGGGGGGGGGAGGAGGCGGCGGCGGCCAAATGTTGGGTGCCGTTTCGTTTTCCCCCTAAGTAGTTGCCATAAATCACACACCCCTCCTCAACTCCCACATCCACTTGCTATTCTCTGGCACAGCGCCGAGCACCAGTTAATACTTTCCCTGCTTCAGGGGATGCACTGGTTATTCCTCCCTGGCTTCTATTTTTTTCCCATTTTCTCTCTGAATTTCTTCCCTTTGTGATGTTCAGGATATTATACCCTGCACCATTTTAAATAGAAACTTTAAGAGTGCTGACATTATCCTTTTGCCTTCTTAAATCTTGGTACAGTAGTGCCAAGAAGAAGAAGGTGGCTGATGATTCCAAAATGAATGTGGCATGAGAAGCTGTTCCTAGAGAGTCTTTTGTTGGCAGTTTGGGACTGGCCCCTCAGAATATACTCCTGGAATGTGCTCTTATTGGCTCGCTTTCCCAAGCTTCTCCAGGGTTTTCCTGCTAGACTGAAGAGTGTTTGTTTGACACAGCCCCCTCGGTGATGTCTTTCCATTCCATTTGTTTATTTTATCTCTTCTTTGTTTTGTTAAGTTTTACCATCTGTGAAGCATCATGTGCAAATCTATCCCTATGTGAATGATAAATAATCATCATTTATTCAGGTACTTGCTATTCTGCCAAGTGTAATGATCTGCACGTGGGTCTGGAAACTCTTAGTGAGAGGCAATGTTAGCCCACATTTCAAAATTCCGGAAAGTCTCCTCCCCACTGCAGAGATGAATTTGAGTTGTTACATTCTGATTGTGGGAGTCTTATTGATTCTAGTGCCCTTACCTTTTTTTTCTCCTTTGGAATGGCACCAGGGAGCTCTGTTTTAAAGTCAGATAAACTCTCATTTAGGGTCTTTTGTTGTTGTTGTTGTTGTTCTAAATGTTTTTTAACCTTTCAAAAAGTATTCTTAAAGGACTTCTGATGGATGGTTTGAAGCACAGTTTTTGATCCTGGGGGCTGGCTTCACTCTGGAGTGCAAATGGGCTTAGGTTTATTTGCCTTATCTCTTTGCTTTTCAGTGAGCTGGAACGTCTGAGCAATCTGGTAGGCAAGCCATCTGAGAACCATCCTCTTCATAACAGTGGGCTCTTAAGCCTAGATCCTGTGCAGGACAAAACTCCTCTCTATAGTCAGCTCCTTCAAGCATATAAATGGTCAAACAAGGTAAGGGAGATGTAATACATGGAGCTAATATATAGAAAGCCAAGTTTTCTTATATTCTATAAATACAGAAAGCAAAAGTAAGTTTTTAATTCTTTTTATGTTCTTGATTCTGCATGGGGTTATAGAGTTGGAAGTTTCAGAATTTTTCTGTAAGCTCTTTTTTAGTCCTTTGAAATCTTTAGGGATTCATAATGCTCAGGTAATGACTTACTAAACATTCTAACTCAGGTGTGTTTAACCTGGAGACTAAGTATGGAGCGCAACGCTAATGAGCCCCTTAAAATGATATGCAGTATGTTGTGGTATGTGCCTGTATGTCTGGAGAAGGCTTCCTAGCTTTCATCCAGTTCACAGAGGAATCTGTGGCCCCCAGGAGGTGTCTAAATGTGTAGCTGCTAACGTTACGTTCTTGTATTGTCTGTTCCTCTGTCACAGATGGATGGGCATCACTAGAATACCGTTTGTTAGATGACTTTCTAATTACTTTAGTTGCCGAGGGAGATTGTTCTTAACATGCTCTGCAGAGTTTTATATTCATGGTTTCTTTCAGCAGGCAGGCCTGTGGCAGAGACCCTAGGACAGCTGCAAAAGGAAAAAGTAAACTGTCATTGAAAACTAACAGAAACAGTTAGACTCATGAATCTGGAAACGGTTGATTTGTTTACTAACAAGTTCCTTTTGTTTGGGTGCTGTATGTTGTGGCATGCATGTGTGTATGGGTTTTTTTAATGTTGATAGGGAACTAGAATACACACACACACACACAGACACACACACTCTTTAGGAATGATTTTGGAAACTTTTTTTTTTGTTATACTGTGCTGCCTCTTTGAATAATTTTTGTTAGAATCGTTGGTCATTTAACTGGATGCAGGGTTGTGCCACTTCCAATAATCCGTTGTCGTTTTCCTCTTTTCTTTTTTTTCTTTTTTCTTTTTCTTTTTCTTTTTTCTTTTTTGTTTGAGATGAAGTCTTGCTCTGTTGCCTAAGCTAGAGTGCACTGGCGTGATCTCAGCTCACTGCAATCTCCCTCTCCCTGGTTCAAGCGATTCTCCTGCCTTAACCTCCTGAGTAGCTGGGATTACAGGTGCATGCCACTGCACCAGGCTAATTTTTGTATTTTTAATAGAGACAGGGTTTCACGATCTTGGCCAGGCTGGTCTTGAACTGCTGACCTCATGATCCACCCTCCTCGGCCTCCCGAAGTGCTGGGATTACAGGCGTGAACCATCGCGCCCGGTCCTTTTCCTCTTTTCTGTGGTTCTTTTCCCCTTAGGTCTTGGATAAGAGATAAACCTTGAGAGTTTTTCTGGTGTGCAGAGTTTTTTTCTTTGAATTTCTCTGTAAGGGTGTTTTAGTATTCCTTGGTTTGCAATGAACCCTGGGAGCTGCACTGCATTTGGGATTCAGTAAGGAGATTTATCACGGGGTACTAAAGAAAGAACTTGAACCTTGAATACATACATTTAGCCTATAAGGCCTTTCCCCAAAACTCTGGGCTGCCAGTGACAGAAACCCAGCTGGGTCTAGGTTTAGCCAAAACAAACAAACAAAAATGGCAGGGAGGCCTTCATTACTTCAAGGAACTAAAATGTTCAGGGAGTTACTTGTCTGAGGCTGAGCTCAGGAGGATCAGGGTGCTTGGGTGATGTGGCAGGAATGTCACTCTCTTGCCCTCTCTAGGCCTGCTTGCCTTTCTTGGCCTGATGCTCTTCAAGTGGTAAAAACCATCACTCGGCAGTTGTGGGTATACATAGTTCTTGTACCTGGTGACCTACTAGTGTCCATGTCAGGCCCTGAAAAAGGATTCTGGCCCAAACTTGATAGGTGCCCTCTGAGATGATTCATTGCATCCATGGGTGGGATCCTCAGCTCAAAACACCTGAAACACAGGGATTGGGGCTCCTTGGAGTTGGGAGAGAGGGCGTTCCCAGAAGGAATGGATGCAGGGCAGATGAAGAAATCACAGATGTCTGCTGCAGTTTTTTAGGGCAGACGTGGGACTGTTCCAGCTCTGCACAGATAGGTGTTTGGAAGAGGAAGCCATGTCGATGTATCCCATGGGTAAAGTTCTCGAAATAGGCTGCAGTGACAAGGACTGTTCAATGGTGGGAAGATTCAGGCCTATGTCAAAACCATGAGTGAGTGAGACACTTTTCGGATGCGACTAGTCTTACATTGAGGTGATGACTCTGAATTTTTGAATGAAGGTAGTTTAATCACTGAATTGTTCCGCTATTAGAAGTCCCTACTTCAACCCCCCACTTGCCCCGCAGTGGAAAATAGGTTGTATTAAGGAAAAGAAATTATGTATGTGGAACTTCTTGCGCTGGAAATGCTACAGGTTAAAAATATCCATATGCATTTATCACAGATTATAAATCTCATATGAGCAATATGAGGAGATGTTGAGGGTGTAGCCATGTCCTTGACCTGCTGAGGTTGAGGTCTTATAAAGGAACTATGTTCTTTCACAGGAGAATAGTTAAGAGATTCAGCCCCTTATTTTAGAGATGAACAAACTGAGCCCAGTGAACCGACCTTGTTTACATCTCCCCAACCGTGACCAGAATTTGGGTTTTCTGACTTAGTTCAGTGTTGTTTCCTCTAAATTTTGATGTTTTAGTCCAGTTTTGCTTAAGGTTTTCAACGATAGAAAACATTTTTTCCTCGTTTACCTGCATCCTGGAAACAATTCACATTATATTTTGTTCATGAATCTGTGTGCATTTCCCTAATTTTTAGTGATTTATCAAAGGGTGGAGATGGCAAATACATGGTACCTGGGTTCTTAACCTATTGTTCTTTCTGGGGCAGACATCACCAATCAACCATTGCATTCTTTCTTGCTGAGGCTGTGTGTATATTGGCTTAGAATCCTTGCAACTCTCTGTTCTGACACTAGGCAGCCACTGCCAATTACTCAGAGGAGAGTGGCCAGGAAAACATGTTTTTTATTTCTGTTATGGCAGCTAATGTCCTATGTGACTATTACTGATCTATACCTGCCCTTTTTCTAGAAGGGATTTAAAGTAGATTATAAGAATACACAAAACCCTGAAAGAAAAGAGGGAAAACAGGGATGAGGATGCCTATATACATTTCTTTAATAAACATAAGAAGTAGCCTCAAGAAATAAGCCAGTACTCTAATTTCCAGCTGGGGACATGGAAGGAGCAAACAATTAATTATATGTGTGTAGCTTGCCTCTCATACAAATGAAAAGAGCTTTTTAATTGCTAAAGCTTTCATCATTCATCATTTTACCCTCAAAGAGTTTAAACCAGTAAGTGCGTTAATATGTTAAGTAAAGTTTGGGGTAACTTGCCAATGTCAGCTCTACACACTGTTGGCTAGGCACTGAAGGCCGTATGAGAAAGGCTTTGATACCAGCCCATGATGAGATGAACTTTCTGTTTTATGTGCTGTTGGCCATAGAGAAGTCTCCTTCATGCCTGATGACTAATTATTTTCTTTAGGGGATTTTGTAATTTTTTGTAAAGTCAGTTGGAATATTAATTACAGGGAACTTGGCATAATTGTTAAAATAACACATTTAAAAATTAATCTCATCTAATGGAATGATGTCAAATTGCTGTGAGCAGCACTTTTCCCGAGCTGAATTGGGGGAAGAATTTAGCTTTTAACTATTATGCACCTAGAGATAATTGTTCTGAGAAGGATGACAAGCTTTCTTGACTAGGGCAAAAAATAATTGGCATCAACGCTGTCCTTGCTATGAAATAGTCAATGTAGACTTGATAGTGCTTATTATGTTCAGAGATGCTGAGCGTTAACCTGAACTTATTCTGAAGGTCCCCTTCTGAAGGTTTCTGGCATCCTGTCACCAGGCTTTTATTTCTGGCTTTGATTTTTTTCATTTGTTTATAGCAGAAGGCTACTTGTATATTTGTCTGGAAAAGCAGACTAAGACATCCGCCTTTCCCTGGCGACATCTGAAGCTGCAAGGACCCCAGAAGCGTCACTTTTTACTGGGCTTGGGAAATGGGCCCAGAGCAAGGTGCTGTTGCTACCTTTTATTTTATTTTTTTTTCACATTTGATTTTTTATTACAGAAACAGCAACTTTCTATTCCAAGAATATTCCACTGGAAAGTCTGAAGACATTTCCTCCATCCTGCCCTCCTGAACTGTTCTTAACAGAAGCCAGTTGCTTAATGACTAAGTTACTGCAAAGTTCACCCCTCACATTCATCTCTGAAGGTGCTCTTTTCTGTTTTTGCATCATGGTACTAACAGGGTTGGAATTTGCAGCGGAGAGTCTTTCCTTTACGGACTCTGTCCTCTTTTAAGGGTAAACTATAAGCCCCAGGGGAGAGGTACCATGTCCATCTTCTTCCTTGCTGGGAGTCCCCAGCACCTAGGAAGGCTCCTGGAACACAGGAAGCATTCAGTTATGATTCACTGAGTGAATGAAAGAATAAATGAATCGAACCTTTTTCTGTTGAATTTTTAATTTACAACCCCTTTTGTGGTTTGCTTGCCTGTATTTTTGATGAAGTCAATGAGGGCATTTCCATTTTCAGCTGTTACTGAGAAAGCCAGTTGTGCTGCTTTCAGATGAGGGGAAATTTGGAGATCTTATGATGGAGGCCAGGGCTGGGGGTGATTTGGAAGGCCAGGGTGAGGTCAGTGGGTAAACTGATGATAAGCTCTTTGAGGGCTGAGTGCAGCAGTTTTAGCCACATCATCTGTCACCTGGTGTGCCCTTCTAATGGGACTTGGTAGAAGTTTTTTGGAGTTGCCTGAGTCGGGCTAATTTAAGCTGCTGCCCCTGATGGCAGGTGTTCTGTGGCAGCTGTCATTTTGGCAGCAATGTGAAAACTGTCTGGGAAGAGGAGAGTCAACTCCACCAGCCTCTTAGGGATTATCCCATTTTGTGAGTTACCTATAACCAATTTCTGTTAGTGTTTTCCTTCCCACCAGGCCCATCCTGACTCATTCTTCTCTCCGTATAGCTGCTACATGTTCAGGGAATAT